TGGAAAATCAGGCTCCTGCTTGGAGAACAAGACTCCTTTTTGCCCAGATTAATATCCAGCACTTCGATAACCTCACAAACCTGCTGCAGAGCAGCACCATGTAAATCAGCTACACAAGTTAATTCAGCTGTTCTAATCGCTTTGCTACCAGCTATGTTTGTATACAGCAACAGCTTCTTGGGGCCCCTGCTATGTTTTTTATCTATCTTCCCGACAAGCCCTGTTGAGACCATGCACTTCAAAAAGAGAAAAAAAATTAAAAAAAATCAGGAGCCAAGACACAGAATGGTAACACTTTGCTGTGCTCACCTGAGAACTTCTCCTTAGCACTGGCTAACGAACCTGAGCAGCAGGTCTGCTCTATGGGACCCATCTCATACCCAACACTCCCAGGACAAAGGCAGGTCGAAGACACAGCAAATCACCTGCTAGTGCAGGGATGTGCCCTGGGAAGCAGCGCACACCAGGAGTTTCTCTCCCTCCAGCAGACTTTATAGACCCACCTTTAAACAAAAGCCATTAAATTGCATGTCTTTTTATACTTTGGGTGTATGCATTTAGGATATTGTGCAAGTGTGCAAGTGCTCAAATAACTTGTGGGTACAATGGTATTGGAGGGAATTGGATTGATCCCTGCATCCCAAGGGAAAGGAGCTGGTAATGGCCATGGCAATGCCAGTTAGCGACTGTATTTAATGCTCTGATATTTAACTGCAGTGCCTGGTGTTTCTGGAGAGGTTTCTGCAGCCCAGATGCCTCCTGTTCACCCCACCCAGCCTAGAGAAACACCATTGCTGCCTCTAGCCAGAAAGCTCTTCTCGCAGACTTCGATGCCAGATGCTTTCTGCAGCAGTTTCTGCACCCAAGTCAGCTCAGCAACCTGCATGCAGGGTGGAGGTAATCACCACATAAATGCACTCTTCTGTGTGGGTTTTTTTTTTTTTCTTTCACAGGCCAAGGCCAGTGTCAGCTTTCTCACTTTGTGGCAGGGTATCATTGCCAGTGGGATGAGGAGAGAGAGCCATGCTTACTGAGACAGTCACCATCCCAAACGCTGGCAGAGTTGCTATCGGTGTTAGTGCCACTGTCCTCACCTTGATTAGTTGTGTGGATGTGGGAGGCTTAGGTTTCCACACAAGAAAAATGGGAGAGCCTTAGAAATGAGACTAGCAGACCTCAGAGAGATCAAGATCAGCACCAAAATCAACAAGCCCATGCCTCCCCTAATATCCCCTTTGGGACCTCGACAACTGGAAGCAGAAAAAAAACTCCAGACCTGGATATTTCAGCTGATGGCAAGACATCTGAGCCAAAGTACGGCTGTCGTGGAAAAACAAGCAATTGTAGGATACCTCAAACAAGGTTATTTATAGAAAAGGACAGTTTGATGCCCTTATACAAGGCTCTGCTTAAAATTTTGTGCATTTTGTTTGTGTAGCTGTGGTCATGCAAACATAAGAAAAATAAACTCAAGCTGGAAGAGGTGCAGAGGACAGCTGCAAAGATGAGGAGAACAGAAAGCTTATTTTATGGAAAAAACTAAAGAGGCTGGCTTGCTTAATCAAATAAAATGAAGACAGGGGAAATACACCTGTCACTAATAAATACATAAAGGAACTAAATATTATGAAGGTAGAATTGATTTAAGGTAAAGGGCAGCACATATAAATATTTCTAGCCATCTCTAAATTTAGGCTAGAAGCTGCATTTTTAATCAGAGCAGCCAGATTCTGGAGCAGCTTCACATGGAAGTGGCAGGAACAGGAAATCCACCTGGTCTTTGGTCCAAGCATGATCTGTTCTTCAACAACAGGATGCAGCTGAGATGTAATGGGTCAGACTCCACGCAGTCTTCGGTGGAAATGGGGTAAGGAGACATGAGCCAGCGACGACTGATCATGGCAAGGGTACCAGCACCAACGCCCCCAGTCATCCTGCTTCCAGCCAGTGGGAACCTGCACACCTTTGCACTACCTGTCTGCAAAACAAGGGGTTTGTACGATATGTGGAGATCTGAAGTTTTAACTGAACTCTTGTAAAAGTGCCAAGGTTTTGATGTCAAATGTGGCAGGAAGGCCTGCAAGGTGCCAAGCCACTGTTAACCCTTTCAGGAAGGCGCAGTGAAGTTTCCATTTCCAAGACACCTTCAGACACCAAGTGAGCAATCTGGCAGCGAGAAGCCTTGCTGTAGTGAGGAAGCTACAGGACAGCATCTGGACCAAACCACCACCAAATTCAACAGCTGAAATACTTCCAAGCTGCAGCTGCCCTTCAGAGGACACGTTAATGCCCAACCAAGGCACCTGCTTGGCAAGACACAGCACAGGCAAAGGGGGTTTCTCGTTGCCAGCCATGAATTACAACAGCCACAAAGCCTTGTTGGCAGCTAGCTCTGAGCAACACAGAAAAGACTGAAATTAAGACACAAAGTAGGGTTTTATTTACTACTTTCCTCCATGTTCATCTTTGTGTCCATCCTGAGCGCATTAGAATAAACTTGCTTTTGTACTTAACCGTAAAATCTCACCTGTTCTCGAGCAGCTTGAGGGTGGCAGGGAAACATTATTGGCAACGGCTCCCCGGAGCACATACCTGATTACACACAGAGCCCCCATATCTGTGCAGGAGAGCATGCCTGCGAGGCACTCCTCCACCACACTGCAGATGCCTCGCATTGCTTCCATCCCACAACCCAGTTTGCAGAGAAAAGTATTTTGTCTAGAGCCAGCTGGAATCTGCTAACAATCAGGGAGAGGATCTGAGAAGCAGCTTCAAGGCAATCCCCGCCACAATACAAAGCAAGCCTAGAAATAATCAACAGGAATTACCTAGAAATGAAGCAATTCCACCTTCTTCAGGCTCCAGATGGGAAGTTCCTGGGAGCTTGGGGACATCAACTGTCCACGTTTTTTTAAAAAAAAAAAGAAATTATAGCCAATTTCTTAGAAATTGAAGGGGACTGAGTATAGGCAACCACATCTCGTTGTAAACTCTGACCCACTGCTTCATCTCAAAGTGCACAGCCCTTATTCTTTCTTACCAGGGTTTAAGTACACCAGTTCTCAAGATCCAGAAGCATTACACTTTTACTGCTCTGGCTGAGAAATGCAAGGTGGCCTGAGAAAGAGACCAGAGCAACGTGCCCTGGAACTTTCCAGTAAAACAAAAATGCACCCCAGCACCCAAAATTGCCTACGCAGTTCTCACTAGCCAGGAATCAAATCCCCATAGCAAAGGTCAGCTGTGCTCAGCAGCCAAGACGCATTCTCTGCAAGGCAGAGACCTTCCAGATACACCGGCTAAGCAAGTCTGCTAACAGTGTCCTAGAGCCTGCTGCACATCTAAAATCAATTTCAAGGTGAACAGATGCAACATGCACTTGGGCAAGCTCACTGATGAGCATGAAAATCGCTCCCAGCATTTGCTTAACTACGGACAACTAGCAGCTGTAGGGTCTTGCTCCAGCCCAGTCCGTTTGCATCTCTTCAGGCATCTGCTAGTGGGAGCAAGCATGGCTCAGCATCAGAGCAGCAGAGGTATTGTTCAAAGCTATCAGGTAGGGCTGAAATAATCGATCAGAGCGTTCTCCTGTACCTACTGGAGCTATCGCAGAGGACTTCTATGCCAGGAACAGGAGGAAGCTGCAGTTTTATACAAGCGCTGAAAATTACTCTTGCCATCAAAGTAGCCCTTAGGCAACACCAGAACAAGCCATTCCGATGCTAAATCCCAAACCAAAGTTACCGTTTTTGTAACACAAGATCCTGGGCTCACCGCACCCAATCTGGAGTCTTGCAAGCCCAGGTGCCCCACACCCAGAAAACAGGCAGGGTTAAAGCACAGCAGGCACCACCGCCTCCTGTCCTCAGCCACAGAGGCAATTAAATGTCACAGCTCGTCCCCTTCTCCAGCTCCTCTAGCCAGGGGCTCACCCACCACCTCCTTCCTCCCCGTCTGACCGTCTGTCGATAACAGATGCATTCTTTGGATTTTCTGCCTACCACTGGCACATCATGGTCCCGGCACCCTCGCTGGAGCCAGCGAGATCACGTATTTGGATTGAGATAATTGCGTGACAGTACACAGAGCTTAAACAAACCTGCCTTCAAGGAGAGAGAAGCTGAGATGTCAGACTTTCTCCTGACTTGCTCTCCATCTCCCTCTGATCTGAGATGCACCAGAAGGTTGGCTTTTTATAATGTTTTCTAAAAATCCATTTTAAAACTATTTTTCAATTTTGCTCTTTGAAAAAAATTCCCGAGATTGGAAGTTAATTCTGTTTAAGAACAGAATTTTCTGAACTCCACATGATCCAAGCAAGCAGATGCAGAGAAGACAACTTCTTAGCACCCTCCCAGGAAAGGACTAAAGATGAGCAAGCGTGCATTTGGCAGTGTGCCTACCCTCCTCTGGGCTGTTCTGACACTTTCTTGCCCTCAGGACAGATTCCAAAACTCAGATTTCAGGTGTCTGCAGTGCCAGCAGCACGAGGGTAAGTTGGAAAAAGAGAAAGGCTCCCATCTTTCCCAAGAGGACTTGGGGACGAGGTCAGGAGAGACTGTGTCAAAGGCAGCCCGGAGCCCCGCTGGCAGAACAAGTTCTATTTGTCTAGCAATGTTTTGTAACCACAGTGAAACAAACTCCGAGCGTCAGCGCAGATGCAGCCCCAGGGAATTCATGGCTCCCCAGATCCCGAGGCAACATCTCCTTATGAATGTGCCCATCATTCCAGGGGCCAAGAATCTCAGTTTAAATACAGCCAACAAACCCAATCAGTCAACCCCTGAGGAGAGAAGTCTCCTCCCTTCATCACAGAACAACTTTGCAATGAGGTAAGGACTTGAAATTTTTTTTTTTTTTTTAAAATCCTTCTCCTGTACTCCTACAAAACCTTAAGACTGCTCCACAGCACCTTCATGACCCAGCCTCTTAGTGGGGTGACTATCTCGACTCCTGCAAGAATATAACTGAAAACGAGCCTCAGGAATGGCATTTCTCACCTGGACAATTTCTCCATTAGAAGCAAGTAAATCCGTGGGGATGGAGACTCTGAAGAAGCGTCCCACCACAGCAGAGCTGTCTGGTATGCCCACCACGGCCGGCACAGTCTCCCGAAGGTCCGAGAGCACAGAGTGCATGGAGGCCTCCAGCTGGTTTTCCCAGTCCTGAACCACTTCTGCTGGCTCGCTGGGCCAGTGGCAGTGAGCAGAGGCCGCCAGGAGCAGCATGGGGAGCCAAGTCCTCCCCAGGAAAGGGGCCTGCAGAAGGCATCCAACAGTCATTCTGCCCAGTGGCCTCAGCGATAGTGCTCCGGCAGGAAAGGGGACCACAGGGAATCTGCAGGCACCGCAGTGTAGGCAGGGGATGTGCCAGTCCTTCACAGTAGCCTCATCCTAGGAGTCCTGGGAACCTGATTAAACAAAGGAAACCCAATGAGCACATTAATTACAATATCCAAGCCAGCTGGCTAACACACAGACCTCTTGGCAATAGACAGAGGGCTACCTGCCACACTACCCTTTTCATTTCAGCTTTTTGATTGTACTGCAAGAGTTACCATGACCATTATAGAGAGCAAGAGCTTGTCAGCTCCTCTTCTGGTGCATGGCATCTCTAGAGAAACAAGATCGTCCTGCTTTTCCATGTACACAACCATGTTTTGCTGCTCTTGAGCCACAGCATCCTGAGATAGCCATAGGTAGGGGGATGAGGCAGATACAACAGAAGCCGAGGCAGAGCACAGCGGTAATAGGTGACCTTTCAAAGGCAAGCTGAAGTCAGGCTGGGGCATCAGTGGATTTAAATGCCAGTTATGCAGTATAAAGGTCCCAAGAAACCTTTGGTACTCCAAGGATTCCCATCCTGACAGCTTGATGCACGATAGATGCTTCTGTTTCTCTGACCCATGAGCCTGGCTTTCAAGCCAGGTCTCCTCTCAGTTCCAGCTTTCAGTATTAATGCACTTAGACTTGATTTGGGGGCCAGCACTATGCACCTCAAAATCAGACTGGAGTAAGCTATGTGCACACTGCGTCCTACACTGCTACCCACCATCCAGTTCCCTCCCATCACAGCTCACCCATCCCCGCACGCTGCCGAGAAACATCTCCAGCTCCCCCTCCGTTTTCTTCTGCTTGCTTCCCCCCCGTCCCCACCCTCCCTCTGGTCCCCTGGATCACAGCTCTCCTTGCTCTCCTCTGTTCCTTTGGTGCATTATTTCCTTCACTTCCCCAGCTGCTTCTCCCTCCAGACTGCGTTCAGCCCCAGCAAACAGGAGTCCGGGACTGTAAGACTCCCCTGCCACATTCCTCTGCCCAGCCCATTTGCAGGAGAGCAAGGGGGTTCACGAAAGAGGACAGAGCCACTGGAGGCCCCGGGGGAAGCCGTACTGCCTACTCCAGCATCCTGGTTTGCAGCGATTGCAGCCCTTTAACTCATCTGCAGTAACGAGTGGGGCAGTGAGCTATGCAGGATCGGAGAACAGACACACGGACCAAGTGGGTGTTGCTCAGCCCCCTGGGACCACAGTCCCCTTGGGCCAGGCACTTGCACATCTTGAACCAACTCCTTTTTTCCAGGCTGAGAAGCAGATCCAAATTCCCAGAGCACACCCAGCCCAACTTCTAACCACCGGCTCCCAGTCCTCTGAGCACAGCTCCCATGTATTTTAGCCTGTTCCGGCTGCATTGTGTGATGCACATCAGGTCGTCCTAAGAGACCCTGGAGCCAGACTGGGTGGGAAGGGAAATCCCACTGCATCTTGCCCTTGCAGAGCTCCGGGGGCAGCAGGACCAGCCGACCTGCTGCGCTGCGGCCAGGCAAGCACATATTGCCCACCACAGGCTGGCAGAAGCAGGCAGAGGGCCTGTCTACACAGGCCACCAAGACCAAAGGTTACCCCAGCAGACTCTAGGAATAACAGGAGATATGAGATATGGTTGCTCACTCTCAAACCTGCACTCTAGAGAAGCCGAGAGGCAGCGTGCAAGGGCTAGCACACCCTCACCCCTTGATGGGCCTTTTTACAACAAACCACTCGGGCAGAGGGGCCGACATCTCCCATCCCAAGGTAACGGGTCCAGCGAGTGCAGCCACAGGTAGCAAAAAGGGCTGTGGGTAGCAGAAGTCACAAGCCAAATGCAATAGCCTCTGGCTACAGCATCCAGGAGGTGAATACCTGATGTGACCACTGTCAGTCGCAGAGAGCCTGTCTGAAGTGAAAGGCAAAAGAAAAAGCAGAGGCAGAACAGCATCACTGGAAACCACAAGACAGATAGGAGGACAGCTGGTGTGAGATGCCAGCACCAGAAGAAAGCCCATTCTCCCACTGCCGTAGTCCTTCCAACTGCCTGAACCGACTGGGACAGGAATACACCAGACGGAACAACAGGGAAGCCAAGTTTGGGCGGTTCCCAAAGGCAACTGAGCACATGGTGGTCTTCGCCTGGAGCAAGATGCGCGAGCTGCTTCTCCAGAGGTTATCATTACAAAAGATGAAGTGGCTGGGCGGGTAAGGACAAGTCACACTTCCCACAGGGTGCATCTCTCCTACCAGCTCCCTGCATGGTCAGGCAAGTCTGACACATACTAATTGCTTGTGGATGAATCCAGAGTCACCTCAGTGAGTAGACTTCTACCATGGTAGACGTAAGGTGGAGAATGCCAAACAGGCCGCAAATGAGCTACAGAGATGGAGCAGCCTTCTGCAAAAGGTCCTGAGGAGGCCACTGGTCATCACAGCAGGAAATCAGGGGGCTCTCATCCCTGCACAGTGCCTTAAATAAGCAGAAAGAGGAACCACTACCTTCAGCGTCTGTGGAGCCCGGGGTGCGGACACCACAGTGATGGCACCTTGTCCATGAGCTGTTTCTCCTGAAGCCTGCTGGTTGGAAAGTCCTGTTGTGCAAGGGCCTGGAAAGCAACCCACACATCAAGTACAGGCAGGATTAGACTTGCTGGGAGCTGGGGGAAGAATGCAGCAGCACCCGGCAGCCCTGTGGCTGCTGTGGGGCCAAGACGCTATCAGCATGGAAATATGGCTGACTCTTGCAGCTGCGCTGAGCCTCCACACCCGAGCAGAGGAGGAACACCCCAGACAACCAGACACTCAGCCTACAACCACACAGAGCTGTAAAGACACCTGGAGAGGTTCGGCACCACATCTTCAGGTCAGCCTCTGGCCCTGGCCTGTCACAGCTGCAGCAGAGCTCATGCACAAACATGGTGCAGCTCTGTGTTGCTCAGCCAAATGAAGTGACCTGGGCTCAGGCATTTTTGTTGGATGGAGAGGAGTATTTGGGCAGAAAGGAGCTGGTTCTTGATATCTGTGGTCAGCAGGAGAGGAAGATTAAGTCATCACCAATTTCAGAAATTATTATTAGAGCAGGTGACAAACGCTGCCTGTCTGATACGTGCCCCTCAGCCAGGCAAGTCACGCACTGGCCATTAAGATCTCACGTGGCACTTGCAGGTCGCACAAATTCAGAATTTCATTTTAGGGGAACTACAGAACAGTCTCGACATACAGAAGCGGAGCACACAGGAGGTATAGGAGGAGTTCAGAAGCTGATAAAACAAACCAGAAGAGCTGAGAACAAACTTGCACCACCAAAAAAATCTCTTTAACATAGCTCTACCTCACCAAACAATTGACAAAGCTGAAACACTGCCAGGCTCTTACCACTGTGTGCTAAGGAGGAAAAGTACAGCTCTACAGATAGCTGGAACAAGGCATTTTGCCCCGCAGTGGTCCACGTGGACTATTGCTTCAAGGCAGAACACTTCTTGGGATAGGAGGCCCTCCACCTAAAAGCCAGTAGTTCTGCTCAGCTGATCCGCTGGCTGCCAGCACTGCAGGTCTTGCTGCAGAACAGAGAAAACCTCACCTGCAGCATGGTCCCTCTGTCAAGTTCAAAAGCCCACACCCCGTCACTTGGTACTACCATGGGCAAAACCCAGACTTGTTTGTTCAAGACATCATCCCAGATGTATGCAGAAAAATGTCAGCATTCTGGATCACTGTCCATGACCAGCGAGTGGCGAGGACCTGAAGCTCTCTGGGAGCAAAAATCTCAACACTTCACACGGTTTCCCACAAGCTCAAAACATGACCAAACCCCAAATACAGATGGCATTCTGCAGATGGTCTTCTGCTGATCTCTGGTAAGCATCAGGCCATAGGGCTGACTGACTAAGACAGCACTTTCAAGTTACAAGGGAAGGCTAGACCACCCCAGCTTCTCTACATGGCACAATGCTCCTTCTTCCAGGCAGGATCTGTACTGCCCAGTTTCGCAGAACACACACAAAGGTTCAGGTTAGTCCTGAATTTCAGGATGTTTCGTCCCGTCTGATCTTCTGAAAGAACTGACTTTCTCTTTATCCTCCTGCTTCTGTGAGAGCTCTTTTGGTCTCAACTTTGAGCCTCCAGAGTGTTGGATGAAACATCAAAGTCACTATCAACATCTGCTTCAGTCCCAGTGCTCGGTGCACGCACCAATGTTGATGCCTGATCTCCAGTGCCAAACCCCCATCTCAGAGACACAGAACTGGGCCTGCTTGGTGGAGTTAGGTTGATATGATGCTGCACTTGATACGATGCTGACTTGTCAAGACAGTGCTGGAGCTCGCTCCTTCTCCATGTAGCTACAAGGCCCGCTGACATGTTAAAGACATGCTCTACCTTCATTATTCAGGAACACAGGATAGTGCAGACAGAAGATGGGAGGAAGGACTGAAAGCAAGGGCTGACAGCAGGACAAAGTAGCTACTCCCAGCCACACATCTTCCCAGAGACCTTTCCTGCTGCCCACAGCAGAATCAGAAGCATGGGGCGAGGGGAAGAGTCCAGGCAGCAGGAGCGTGGCTGCCCTAGAAATCACTGTTCCTCTGTGGCCGATTACAGCACCACTTCAGCAAGAACCAGCAAAAGTGAAGTCTCTGTCCAGCTGCGTCTAATCCAATTGCTCAAGCACACAATCACATCACTGGGCTGCGGTAATTAAATCACTGCCAGCATATTAATGCCACTGAGCCTAGCATGCAGAAAGCTCAGGTAAATGCCGTGCAATTCTCTACTCCAGATAAGAAGGTATTTAAGGAGAATTAGGAGGAATCCCACTTACCTGACTGCTTATTTACCAATATCCTCATTAAAGAAAGCATTAACAAGTGGCCTTTCTCTATAAGGAAGCAAACTCACTCAGCTAAAAAGGGCCACTGCAACTTTTCCAGAACTTTTCCAGGGCTATTGTCTCTGCAAAGATCTCCCATGCGTGTTTCCACAGGAGGATCTCTGGGCAAGTCCCGTCAGCTACTGCATGTCTGCGTGTCAAGGCAGCAAGCAGGAGGAATGATGAAATCCAGCGTCACTGGCCAGGCACACAAAGATGGCACTCTGCCGTACATGCT